CTAGGTCTAATGGAGTTGTCGAGGCTGCGACATCGTGGTCCACTAGCTCCACACTTCTAGGTGGAGATAGCCCCTTTTCTCGAACATTAAGTAGTGATGTTGAGAGGGTTAGATGGCTACTGAACCGCAGCCAAAGCATCCACTTCCACTGCAAAGTTGGGCTTCTGGTGAATCAAGCTGTCCTGTTTTTGTGATGACATCAAAATGCGTTTTTGTGTGAACGGACACTTCAGTTCATTAAGACAAGGTGTTTGGGCGCTACATACGCAGATACCACAAACTCCCAAGGCCTCGGCTTGTGCATGCCTTCATTCAGGTCGTAGTCCACTCTGACTACTCGTGTTCCAGTCATTTGTTTTTCATTTATTCTCATTATTTTCTAGGCTACCCAACCTGCAAGGAGCGTATGAAATTCCGTGTTGGTTCAAGACCCGAAGGTGAGTGCCCTCTCCCTCGCATGAAATGTCTCTAGGTGTGAATTATTCGTTGTGAGGTCTAAGTACTCGTTGTCTTGTTGGCACTACATTACCGAGCAAGGGAGGCATAAGAAGGTGGCATAGTTTTGAAGGTCGAGTGTACTAGTGCATTGCGGAGAAGACGATCTTCATGACCGGCATAGGAGGTGTGGTTGGATTCAACTTCGCTTTTTTGTGCTTTCTCTCGCCATTGTAGTCACCGTAGAAGCTATAGGATGTAACTACTGGAATTAGGCACGTTCAAAACCTTGCCAAATCTGTTTCTCATTCTCAATTAAGGTAGCTGTGAATCTGTGAGAGGATTCATATTATCTGGGCGAAAGACTTCTTATTCATCTTTATCTTCTCCAGCAATATACAACTATGTTCAGCGTCCCTTCTTGCGCATGTCGTGGGAGCAAGAGGAGAATAAGTCGCGTCATGTGGACTTTCAGTGTGTGAAGAGCAAGTCGGTAAGCGACCTTACCAGCCTTGACCAAGCTGTCATCGACCGTCCACTCTTGGCCTCTGCTGCTGCCGCCACCGGTGTCAATAACTCACCTTCGCCCTCACAAAATATGGATGGCGGTGGTGCTGGCGAAGGAGGTGATGGAGTGACGGTCGATCCCATACCGCCTCGTTTCTCACCATCCCTGCCTCATCACCACCACCACCTTCATGCGCCACGATAGACCAGGAAAATAGTGGGCGAGTGAGAGTGATGTTTCACAATCCCCCACCTCTTGTATGACATCTATCCGACTCATCATTGTGTCCTGTTTGAAAGGTGTTGTACGCTTCTAATGCGTTCTATCCTTCTCTTCTGCCCTGTCTCTTTCTTCCGTGCAGAATTTTGTGAGATTGATCATGTTGTGAGGGATCAACCTCGAAGGTTGGCAGTACGCAAATCGTACGAAATTATTATTTCAACAAGTTCAAAAACTTTGGTTGATGACCAGATGAATGACTTTACCGTCTTGTAATACTCTGCTACCTCGGCTCTGCTTTGTACCTTCCACGTATTATTTAACTCAGTCATGAAGGTCTGCTAAGTCATGACTGAGTCGCTCGATTGCATTATGGATTGGCGAGATGTTGCATCTTGTGCATTGAATTGTTCCTACATGTCCCGTGGGTAGTCATTGTTAACAAGACAAATTTTGAATTGGTGGAACTTGACTCTTCCTTAGACCTTTCTCCTATTAAGACTTCCATGGTAGGTCTCTTCTGCAACCTTCAGGCTTAACAGCAGAGCAGTTCCTAAAGTTATTTATGGCAAAATTTCGACCATGTAAGGTAATTGTGTGCGGAAGGGGTTTGAGGCGGATCACAATGCGTCATGGAACCCAGTCCACCGTTCGACATCTTACTAGGATTGACTAAGGGAGGATCCCTTTCGTCTGAGTCATTGAGACAGATATGCGTATGATTGAAAGCTGAATGAATTCCCACGTGTGCTTTGCAATTTTAGTATGTAATGTGACACCAAGCACGTCTTGCGATCATTCCACCGTATTAAACACGGCCACAGCTATTTGTTCAGATTGGATCGTGCAAAATCAACTCGTGTGTTGAAACATCAAGACATTGAAAGAGGTGAGGTAGAGGGTAGGAGGTTGGGTAGTGGGTGCACTCTGTTGACCTCGTAGATGCTGTGCAGATAAGTAAATATCAAGTCATTTAAATTAAATCGTTGGAGCCAGATGCGGGCTAACTGCAACGACTCATTCAGGTTAAGTCTTCCATGGCTACTGACAATAATCTCTCTTCCTCCTTATGTGGTCTCTTTTCGGCCTAGCAATGAACACTGGATGGTAAAGCAGTTATAGTGGCATTACACTGTAGAATTCAACCGCACACGGCGACTTGTGGGATGGTGGGAATGTGGCGACATGTGCCTGCATAAACTATTGGCAGAGGGGTGGGGCTGTAAGGCATCAGATAACCAAGAGACAGGTATCGCGGGGTAGGAGAAACACTTGGATAAAATTCGCCTGGAACTGTTTATTTTTGCACTTTTTTTAATCCATGCACCCATCGTGATTGGCCCAAATAAGAGAGAGGTCCAGAAAACACGACTTTAGTTTCATATGATCCCTACTGAAGGATACTAAACTGCGGTCAATGTAATGGTAGACATACTACACAAGTCGAAAAGCGTAATTATCCTTCGTCAACAAAACCTATGCGGAAGATATGTTGATGCAAACCCATTCATCATAGGGCCGTAAGGCGCATGCCAACCAAGTGCGATATTGCGAGATAATACGCACCTAATCTGTAGCAAAAAAACTCCGACCCGTTTAATGGTCATTAGAATATGAGCGAATGAATTTTTCTTGATCTAGAGTGCCTGAAGGCCGCGTGTAAAATCATTGTTCGGATTTGGGATGTTTGCCACTTCATGATATTTCGCTAATTTAGATTAAGCTTCTGACTACTTATATTGGTAATAGTTTGGCATTTCGATTCATAGTACCCCGTTCCAAAATTGGAATTGCCTTGTTTAGTAGATGTAACCCATGCTGCAGTGTTTAGATCTGTCTACAGGGGAGAGGTGTTCAGTCAATACCAATCCGGTGTTTGAGGAAAGGGACCGACGTAGGAGAACTGCTCTATTCATGGCCCTTTTACTTGTGCGCTGTAATTGAAGCCAAAACCGAAATTCTACTCAAAAGAACAGAAGTAGGGCAGGGGTGCTACAATCATAAATTTAACAAATTCTATTCGTGGCAATAAAGTGTGTGAAGTTTCACAATGAGCATCAATTCGACGAAGGCGAACGCAGTTAGTTTTGCAAATGCCTTTAAACTAATCGCCCTTTAACATACAATATTAGTGAAATAATATTTATCGCGAAGTGGTTTCGTTCGCGGTCGGCTTAAATTGG